TGATATAAAGGGATATTAAATATTTTTAAAAAAATTTGATTGGTAATTAAATATTTGTGAATTAATGCTGATTTTACAAAATTTTCCTAAAATAACAAAAATGCCATTAATGTGCCTCAAAAATAAAAACGAAAATGCAATTAATTCGTAACATAAAAATAGCCGAAATTGTACTCAAAATTACTGAAATTGCCATTGCATTAGTTCAAAATTACCCTTTTCAATTTAATCAATTTAATTATAAAACAATGACAATTTGAGTAATATTAGAATCAATTTTGGACATTCTCCTAAATGTACTTCTCTTTTAATATTATAGAGATATGATTTTTTTATTACTTCGAAGTTGGGGTTCCTTTCCAAAATTTTCCTTAAATATGTTTTAATGAGGTAAAATTTGGATGACAAAATCTAAATTTTAACACTCAGATGCTGCATCCAAATTCAATATATATAAACTCTTCCAGTTTTGTATTAGCTTTTTGTGACGAGGAGGAGAATGCAATTTGGTATCGTCGTATCTCATTTCTCTAACACAAACGTAAAATAATATTGTATTTGTAGATTGTATTTGTAGCTTACAAACCCAAACGTAAAACAATTAAACTACGTGTCTCGCATGTTTGCAAAGTAGAGGTTAGTGGCAAGGTCCGACCATACATTGTGAAGGTGTAACACGCAAATAATATTTCAATTATTTTGTTATTTTGTAAATTTTTTGATGCAAAATTTTCATCAAACTTGGAATTCGATTTGCATTCAAATGCCATCTCGATATAATATTACATAGGATAAACGGACAAGTTCTGTCATATTAAGATCGATCCAGATGCTGCGTTCGAATGCAAAATTAAAACCTTTTAAAATGATTTTTGCAACGGAATTTGCTTCCAGTGACTTTTTCATGTCAATTATTTTTCTCTCAACTAAAACAGATACCCTTAATATTTTCTGTCCAAAGAGGAGAAATTGTTCTACTCACTAGAACAAAACTCTTCCTGAAGAATAAAGAGTGGAGCACATGAGCTAGGTAGGTTTTATAGAGCCCTATCTAAAAAAAAATGAGTAGGTTTTATAGGTCGTACATACATGATATGAATTAGGTTTGGTCAAACTAACAAATTAGGTTTTCCTCCAATGTATATGTTAATTTTACAGACTGTAAAAGACAGAAGAAAACAAAATTAAAACTTACAATGGAAGCAGCTTTCGTGGAAAATTCGAGGAACGCGAACCAACTCAGCCACATGCTTCGGTCTCCCTTACTCA